CTGCACCAAAGTGCTTTCATATACCTATGACCAGAACACCATAATATATGTTTGGATTAACAGCATAAAAATATATCACTCCTCTTCTCAACATGCAAGAGATATACTGGGTAACCACGCGCTCAACTAACTGTAAAGAGATTGTAATACCTCTTCTTAACAACAAAAAACATTAAATAATGGACAAAAAAATACAAGCATTTTTAAACAGCCCATATTCACTAAATCAAATTGCATTTAACCTGACGGAGGAATTTTCACACAGACCTCTTTACACTACTGCCAGACGTACCACCAAATGTTTTTCCACAATAATAAATGTTTAAAGTGGAAATTTTTAATGTTTACCTTAAGAAATATAACAAAAAAAATCTGATGTTGACCAGAAGAAAATTTAACATTGAAAATCACAGTTAAACAAATGCTATTTTCACTTGTTAGCAGATGAGCTCTCTCTCATCCGCCGTTAAAACGAAAATCCTGAGCTAGCACCTACTCTATCATAAACTGTGCACCTAACAATTATGACACTAAATTGCATTACCTACTCAATGTGATAATCCATGCTCTTAACTCAACAAACTGCACATTGAACTTATAATAGCAAACTGTGGACCCAACTAAAGAAAGTAAATTGCCCAACTAACTATTGTATAGATGGTAAATTATGCACAATAAAATGTACATCTAACTGAAAATACAGTACAGCAGTAAAGAGAACACCTAACACCTCCAGATAAAAATTTGCAACTAATAAAAAAATATAAATAAAAAAACCTGTGCATATGACTCAAAGTAAAATATTTTAGTAAAAAACAAAATAGACTGTTCAAATCAATTTATAAACGGCACACCTGATTGCACACCTGATCCAAAAAAACTGAACCTAAGTAAACAAAATGAGTGTGTGCACAAATCAACATCTTACACAACGCACCTAACAAGATAACAGCCGGCGTAACACCTAATTCAAGATGTAATAATACTGTACTGTACAAGTCAACAGTGGGTGTAAAAAAAAGTGTAGCCAGGTGGTGAGCAGCAAAGTTTAGCGAACTGACTGACTGACTGACTGACTGGACTCACACACATGGCAGGACTTAACCTTGTCTGTCAGCCACGCCTCATCCCCAGGTCACTTTCTCTAGTCACCAATCTCTGTCTGTCTTTGACAATCACTGTCTACAGGTATTTCTGTCTGTGAGTGTCTTTTTATGTCTGTCTTTGCCAGTCACTCTGTATTTCTGTCACTGTCTTTCTATCTGTGTAGCCTGTCTATCTGTCTCTCTTTGTATATCTGTCTGTCTATCTTGCTCTTGTGGTTGACAAGCATAACTGAGGAGCTCCGGAGCATAATCTGCTAAGTGAGAAAAAAGAAAATAGAGGACAATTCTCACGAAGGAATGTGTGACATACAATAGTCTTTTCAGAGGACTCTCACCCATATGTACTATATGTGTGAAACAATATGAGACCACAGATGATAGGTATTGGGATGTGTGTGTTGTCTCCTTATACTTTGTGATAGTAATCATTTAACCATTTATTTTATTCCTATATGTCAGCTCACTCCGTGTTGGATACTGAATGGCGGTGGGTGAAGACACATATACCAACCCTCCTGAGACGTCACGAGTTGTACGTATAATTTTGGAAGTCATCGGACCCACCCTGTCAGATACTTTCTTAGCTACTGTACATGTTACCAACTGGCTCTCTGACTTACCCAGAGGACAGAGGAGAGGTTGAGGAATACAATGCAACACATAACACGTTTCAGTGGTATATGGCTCTTAACAGGTTATGGTCCGGAGCTCCTCAATTATGCAGCCGAGGTCAATCAGATGCATTTTGGCAGGCAAATACTTTACTCATACTCTTGTGAGTAATTATGCAGCCGAGGTCAATCAGATGCATTTTGGCAGGCAAATACTTTACTCATACTCTTGTGAGTAATTATTTCGATATTTCTCTCTGCAAACTATCGAATAGTTTCTGTTTGCTAATTATCAAATGTTGGCAAATTCCAAATACAGGTACTGCTGTTCATGTTGGTAAATTATAAAATAATTCACTTTCCAATAATCTATATCGTTAATTTGTCAAATTATGTGTTGAAATTTTTATTATTAATTTTTTCCATTAGCTTTTTTGTACACAATTACTGAAACCCATGCTTAACTGTTAATGCCGGCACATGTGTCACTTTCCATGGAGTGATATGGTGTTTACCAGGAGGCCAACTAGTCATGAATGATGTGGCGACCTTGTTCTGCACATCTCCTGAAACATGTCTTGATTCTCAAACACCCAAAGAGCCAAACCTGGTTAAGAATAAACAATAACAGCTACAATGTTAGTTACTGTATCTGTATTTTGTTACCAAGTTCGTGTCTTACTCTCGTGACAGAAAATGTTATACGATTTGGAAATTTCACATTCGATTACCAAGTACTGTACTGTATACCCTATTCTAGTGGATTAAAAAATCTTCATTACAGTACATAGGTGATATGATCTGGAAATGTTCCCAATGACAATAAAAGAACAATAATTAAATACAAGCATTCTCAACCTCATTAAAAAGTGATCGCTGAATGACAACTACAGTACTGCGCATAAACATGTAATTATTGACTTCAACTTGTTCAGCATGATGAACATGTGGCCAGCATTAATTCAGAGTAATAATACAGTATCCCAAAACTTTCCAAAACTTATTGCTCAAATTTTTCGTCCTCATTTTTGCCCTGCAGATAAAACACTAGCCATAAAAAATGCTGCTTCCAGGAAACACAATAAACCTGCTTTAGAAACCAACTTACCCAATTGTTCATTCAACTATCATACTCCAATATAAAGCTCAATTTGTACTTACGTGAGACAATTCGCTAAGTACAATACAGTACTTAGAAAAAAAAAACTTTATAGAGAACTTGCAAGTTTTTAAATGGTAAATGCCATGAGGACAAAACTAACAAAACTTTTATTCAGACCTAATAAAAAAATAAGTGAATGAACAACGAAGCTGTTTTTACCATAAGGTCGGGGAAGTCCCACGCAACCACTGCACAACAGCAGCTCCTCGCTCTGCCTACACCACCAACACCTTCTCCTCCTGCCCTGTCTCATGCCCACACCCAACAAAGAATTTAATACCACCTCCCTCCCCTAAAGAAATTGATGATTAATAATACATATAACCAGCATGGCAGTCAACAAAGGTGCATTTCACACCCAGAACTCCTTTAAATGTGATTACTACGTGTACAGTACCACAAATAAATACAAGGAAGTGCATCACCTTTGACCTCTGACTTGTCAACACAATGGGGCTCCATGACTTTTGACCCACAGATGAATATAGTATAATACATAATCCCTGGCCCCTTGGCATTCCCATTCTAAGTCACTTCATAAAAAATTGTTGGGATCACCTTAAGATATGCCCCCCACCCCCAGCTTATTCCACTATGATATCAACCACCCTAATGCTAACCTAACCTAAACCCCTCTCCCGGGTAGCATTAGTTTGTTTAATCATCTGGTGAAATGAGCTGGCAGGAGGCTGCAAGTGATCCTGTATGTAATTTGCAAGCCTTAGCCCTACTTCGAGTAACTTGATGCCACCAAAAGACTCCACAAAGTAGTAAAACTAATCTAAACCCTCATTTTTCAAATGGTCAAGTGTTATTTTTCCATTGCATGTAGCCAACACAGTTGATACAACTGTGCTGACAAGGTTACACATGCATCTGAGTCAGCTCCCACAGCTGAGATCTAAAGAATAGTTCAAGCTGTATCAGTCTGCCAAAGTACTTTACACTGTAAAAAGATTGTATTTACATAGTTTTACAGTCATACGATGCCCCCAAGAGGAGGCGTTGGAGGCATTCATAGGCAAGGGCTCCTAGCAGTCAGACCAGTTCCTCAGACAAGTCTTCTGACACTTTATCAAGATTGGCCCCGCCTTTTGCAGTCTGTGTATAGTACTGTATTTGAATATAAACATATTTTTGTAGACTTTTAGAGTTTACATTCATCTAACATTACTGTATTCAACAACCATATTTACAACAGCTCCTAATCCATGACCAGCCAACATTACCAACCTGTGAGACATTTCACCTCCATATAAGAAATCCAGCCCATGGTTATCCCCATTCCACCAAATACAATGGCCTTATCTGTGGTACCTGTACTATTTGTGGTACTACTCTTAAGGTTTATACCAGGTACACCCACTAAAAAATTATTCGGCACCCGTCATATTGTATCACGCCGTAAGGGTGCCGAATAATTTTTTAGTGGGTGTACATGATACTTGTACACACACACACACACATGTATACATGCACGATACATACATGTACAACCACTAAAAAATTATTCGGCACCCTTACGGCGTGATACAATACGACACGGGTGCCAAATAATTTTTTAGTGGGCGTACCATTTTATAGGGGAGAATAAAAAAAAAAAATACCTGTACTGTATCTTACTCAATGAACCAGCAACTTCCTCTCTCTTTAAGAAAACTGTATCAACATATCGTATAACAGATTACTATGGAACAAATATTGTTCATTAGTTATTCCTTCCAAAGCACTTTCCTTGAGACTTACAAAGAGAAAAGACTCATGTTTTATGTTCCCAATTATAATACATTTCAGTACAGTACGGTACATGTACTCTCTTTTTTCCGGTGTTTCAACATTATACCTGTACATGTAAACAGTTATTTAGGCTGAGGAATGGATGGAAGGTACATGGTGAGGGAACAGGGTGTGGATGGAAGGAGGTGAAAGGAACAGGGTGTGGATGAAAGGAGGAGGGTGTGGATGAAAGGACGAGGGTGTGGATGAAAGGAGGACGGTGTGGATGAAGGGAGGATGGTACAGGATGGAGAGTGGGGAATTTAGTCAAGTGATGAAATGTTTCATAAGAGATCAAGGTTCGGATTCCATCCCAAATCCCAGGTGACAATGACAACTATCAACTCATAAAAAACTGGGATTCAAAACCACAAGATCGAAGTAAATTTGTAGCTTTATATCAAATCCAGTTGCATTCTGAAGAGAGCAAGCAACCTGAATTTTTACAATCAATAAAGTGTATATCAGCAAACGAGTACTGTACGTACATGTGGAAAACACAACCGTCCAATTAATGATTTCATAAAAAAGTTTTAACAACACTAACAATACGCCAGAGAAGAATCAGCATCATGAAACACATCCTCTTGATATGCAAGTCATTAAAATAACATTTAATACCATAAAAGAACTTACCTTGTGTGAAGATATAAACTTACCTTATCAGAACACATTACAGTACTTATAAGTGTACTGTACATGGTAGGGATCACAATATAAAATCCTTTTATCACAATGGATTGGTGTATCTCTGTCTTTTATGGTCTATCAAAATGATCTTTAATTATCAGTTATCAGTAGTTGCTGAATTGTATTTATCAATGATTCACTAACTTTTGGTCTCCTCAAACACTAAATTCAGCTAAGCACTGTAATTACAGTATTTGTAAAAAAACAAAACATACAAACTCACTTTTTGGCCAATGTTTGTTGTTGTGTGCTAACTCATGTTAACAATTACTGTATACCCTATTTGACAACATCTCTTTTCTGGACTGTTCACACTTTTAAGTCAAGTTACCATAAAGAGCAATAGCCCACTTCTACACATCATTATAAACTAAAAGGACCACCTCAACATCTACAGTATACTATTACACTTCCACATCACCTATATTCCTTATGGGTATCTTGCTTGCATGACAAAACCCCACTTCAGGCAAAACCCTCTCCACTTTCTATCACATAATCCTACCTAGCAATTGCAGAGCTTCTTCATACAAGTACTCAATATTTTTCAAACTACTGTATATCTTAGCACTGAAGTTGATTATCTTATAAACCTATCATATTCTACAGACTTTACTAAATTAATAAATTACCCCTTGCATATAACACACAGCACCTCAAATATAAAACAAAAACCTCCACCTTACCTGCTTCAAGACCCTTGCGGAGGGAGAACAATGCATGGAAGTTCAGAAAGGCAAGATGAGGTTTGCCCCAGCGGTTGTCAACGTCTTCCACGTCCTCCTCATATTTGATCCAGCGGGCCGTCTCCTTCCACTGAAAGCCGTTTTCTGTATACTTCAACTCGTCCAACTCAACGAATACCTTGAAAAAAGAAAATACATACAAAAATTAATATACACGATTAAAATTTTACATACAATCCCAAACAGATAAATAAAGAGCTCTTTCAAAATTAGCTACTGTATAATACTTCTCTAAAAACTGCTTACGGTAATAAGAGAATAAACTAAGAAAAGAATATAGTATAATAATCATATCTTACAACAGTAAATATATCAAGTGTTACAACATCAGGTGGTGCATCACAACAGATAAAGCAGATGAGTAAACAATTGGGATATGCTTCCAGTTACTGAATGTTGCCTTTAATGAGGGACTGGGATGAGAAAATCCTTGCCATTGAGGAAAATTATTATTGGTACACTAGTAAAATAAAAAACACACATCCAGGCAATAGGATGATGCTGGAAGTCGAGACAGTACAATATTTGAAGAAAAAAAACAAGAGGTATTATGGAACAAGGTAAAACAAAAACAATCAGTTATGGACCCACACCTTATTTCAACCACTGGGACACCACATCACTAAGTTAACTGTTCTACAATGGCCACAGTTATAATTAATACTATCAACAATAAGTTCCAAGAAATACATTACAGGTTGACAATCCTTTATCCGAAATCCTTGGGGCCAGAGGCATTTCGGTTTTCGGAATTTTTCGGTTTTCAGAATGTTTTTTTTTTTTTATTATTTATAATGTGTATTAGCCCACCCGGGCATAGATCACTGACCCACATTGGGGCCTGGGGGTCGAAAATATAATAAAAATTATAATAATAATAAGAATAATAATTCATAGGTCTAGGTCGTGTTTCTCACTTTTGATCTTTTTTCATTCTTGTATTTCTTTACTGTATCATTATTCTATTATTACAGTATTATTGTTATTATTATTATTATTAATTTTATTATTATATTTTATTATTATTATTATTATTATTATTATTATTATTATTATTATTATTATTGTACAATAATCATTATTATTTTATTTTGGTGTATTTTTATCAAAAATTTTATTTACCAAGAATAATTATTATTATTATTATAATTATTATTACTGTTACATTTTTGCCCCCTAGACCTGGGTGGGCTAATAATCCCTGTAAAAAAAAAAAAAAAAGCAGCCCCACAAAAAACTTTCGGTTTTCGGAATTTCGGATAAAGGGTTGTCAACCTGCACTGGCAGTGATTTAAGTGACTGGAGTCATTATCCTGTAGTTAGCTTTAAATAACGGTTCTTGCATAAATACACCAATTTTATAGAAATACTGATGTGTCAAGATTAGCTTCTTTCAAATTATTTATCACTTTTTTACATTGACAATTGCAAGAGTGAAACAGGTGTACCAGGACTCACAAACTGTAACAAACTTAATTAACTTTATCTTATGTTAAGTAAATCAATATGACCGCAACTTCAACTCTGCAAGCCTAGTTTCTCATTGCAATTCACATTCCTATTCATGCTTTATTTTCAACCATTACACGCTTAGGCTGTAAATGGTCCTTTCCAATTCCAGGTAAATAATCAACAAACTTCTCACTTTTACAACCTCTATTACTGATGAATCCACTCTTGTACAGTTCATTCCTTCCTCATTTTCCCTTATTTTTCTTCACTAAATAGCTCAAACGCCCTACCAACTGGGATTCTATAAACTTCTTGTCATGAATCAATCAAAGCCACATATAATGGAATCCCATTCTCATGTCATATTTCTAACATGGATATGTGCTGGATGACTGGATGACTATAATGATTAGATAGAGAAATAACTACGTACAGCATTAATTCAATAATCTGTCACACATAAACTTAACCAAATTATTCCCACACCAAGTGACCTCGTCGAGAATGAGACAATGAACAAGACCTTTCATGATTTTAGTCTTTATGAATCACCTGAAGATTAACCCTCCCAAGTGCTCAGCTAAGGAGTAACTATCCAGCTTAATCACTCCGAAGCTATCTGATCCACAAAGGCTAAAATTACGAAAGGTCTCGTTCGTGAGTCTTGACTACATTCACTGATAAGATCACCTCACATTCAATCCACTCTGTCATTCTTCTTGGTCACATCATACATCCTTCCAATCACACATTTCCTGGTTGAGCGATACATATGGAGACATTTCCAGCTGCATCATCCAGCTCTATGAACACCAATCCCACCTGTCGCTCAAGTAATGCTAAGGTAGTTTATAGCTGCTTCCTGCTAGTCCGTGTTTTATTACTATTACTATTATTGTTATTGTTGCACACATTTTACAAGCATAAGGTTGGTGTAACACTGGTAGAGTTAACATTCTCTCTTAAGAGGGGCTAAACTGTCCAGACCTCATGTGTTGTTTTGTATCGTCCCAAGCTGTGACGTCTACTGCCATGTACCTAATATAGTTTTTATTATACTGTAATTATCATTATCACTACTGTATTATATCATTATTATTGTTGTTACTATCATTATTATATCATTATAATCACTATTAAGATTCTGAAAATAAGCAAAGCTGTATGACATTATGAAATTGAATGAAAAAACAATGATTGACCTGGAAACCATAGCTTATTATGTAGAAAAGAAGAAAAAAATTATCATCTTATTCCTAACCCATTAGTATCATTTTCATTTCAACACAAAGAAAGTCTTCCAACTAACCTCATGAGGACTGTGATCAATAGCTTTCTTAATGAGGGGTCCCTGACGATCAGCTTTCCCTTCCTCCTTATCACTTGCATGGATGATGGAAGACACCGAGGAACGTGCTCGTACTTTTGGGCGACGATAAGCACTTGGGTCATCGAATCTGTGACCTGTGGTAATTAGGAAACAAAATATTCATTAGACGGTGAATTCATTCTATATTGTACTGTATAAATGAATGAACAAGAAATGTGAGAAAAAGAGAGAGAAAGAGAGAGTACATTTGTGTTGCTGTTAACTCTGACTACCAAAAGAGAAAGCACTTAACCCTTTTTTTAAAAATACCATACAAAAATGAAACAAAGATGAAGAGAAAGATGTGTTCAGTAGTGACAACTGTATTCATCTTTGTGTGATATAAAATTTCAAATGCAGAAACCAATGCTACACTGACAACTTGTAACATATGCAATAAAAAATTAACTTATATATCCAGTAGAACACATACTACAGTACAAACAACATCGTGTCTGAAGAATACAATGACAGAAATGTAAAAATGCATCATGTGTTAAAGAGCTGACTGGGGTTTACTGAAGTGTCATGGATGTATTGAGAGAATGGGAAGTGAAAAAGTATAAATCATCAGAGGTAAATGGTGGGAGAGAGAGAGAGAAAAAGTCAAAGAAAAATGTAGAAGGATGAGGTGAAAGGAAGAACCAGAAGTGAGGAAATAGAGAAAGAAAACAGTCAAAGAAATGAAGATAGGAATGTACATGGGCAGATGTGATCAATGACTGCAGATGAAAGAAAATAGAAAATTAGAGATGATGAAAATGATGCATCTGAAAGGATAAACTGGGGAAATATAATGCAATGAATATGAAACACAAAAATAAGGAAACATGAAAATGTAAAGCGTATTGGTATGAGAGCCAATCAGAGTTTACTAAGGTGGTACAGCTACAGAATGAGAAATTGGGAAGATGTAGAAAAAACAAAAAATTAAATTCAATGTGGATGGTCACAGAGAAATGAAAACCAGGAAGGGAGTTGGTGGTGTGAGGTGAGATAAATACTGGATAAGAGGAGACTGAACATCCAGGAAGAAGAGGTGTACTGTACTGCATGCGCATGATCTAAAAGCATGGTACGTACTGTACTATCAATAAGTTTATGGGGGGACAAAACTGCAGCTGATGGGTGATACAGTACTGGATTGTGTGAAGTGACAGTTTTAAATCATACAGATTATCTATTGGCTGTGTTTCAGAAGAGGAACACCATAGAACACACATGTATCTGAATTCCAAATAGCCTTGCAAATGAAAAAAAAAATTGCACTACAATAATATTCATGGAAGCCATATTAATCAAACCGTCTCAACTTACTCGACATATCATCAAGGTCATGTTCAACCAAATTTTTGGCTTCTTCATCAGTAGTTGGAGCAGCAGCAGCAGCCATATGGGACTGCAAACTATGCTCGCTTCCAGCATGACGACGCCAAGCTGGATCTTCCACAGTATCACCACGACGACGGGCTTTGGCCGAGCGTCTGAAAAGACATGGTAATTCAGTTCAAATATACTCAACTAGACCAGTTCAATAAGCTTAATGAATATATTGCTAAACTTTCATAGTAAGCTATAAAGCATGAATGAACAATGTCACATCTAATTATACGTACTGTATATCAAAGAAAACAACCAAATCCATTCTCATGATGTACTCCAGTCAATACTATAACTTATCTAAAATATAGTATTCATGTGATCTCTCTATCACACACACCACCCTCTCAACTTATCTAAAATATATTATTAATGTGATCTCTCTCTCACACACAGCACCCTCTCTGTGTTCTCACTATATGTTTTGTTTCTCTTCGCTTGCTTGTCTTCCTCTCAACTGACTCAACTTAACTCTATTAATCTACCCATATCCAAAACCCAATACAGTACAACAGATTTCTTTTTCTACAGCTAAAAAATTACCTGTGGCATCTACCGGCACTCTTGATTTGCCTTATCTTTTACATAAGTTTTTTCCGAATACGTTCAATATGACTCATATTTCCCTCACTTAATTTACAAAAGGTTTCAAAATTATTTTCAACAACCTTCAGGAAATCACCAGTTTAAAAAGCAATCTTTCAATCATCAAGAATTCATAATTTACTTTATCCTATTTGCTATTTGTAAAATTATTCATTGGTCAAGTGGTCAATGAGTTCTCTGTTATACACTGTTGGTAAGTACTGAGCCTGTATGAGCTCTTGAATGTCCAAAACATCTGCCAGTATTGGTCAAGTTTGGACATAGAAGAGCTCACACTTAATAATATCACAACTCTCTCTGGCAGGTTATTCCAAGAGTCCACAACTATTCCTAAAAAATTAGCACTGAAAGTTTTCTGTACTGATAGCTTCTTTAACTTGAGACTGTAACCTTTAGGGGGATCTGCTAACTCTAGATATATAAAGTCCCTAAAAAAAAGTATTGTTAGCCATGAGGTTGATGTGCTTCGAGGCTTTCCGAGCAATGTTACTCGACCTGTTTCTGAATGGTTGGTCATTCCACATCCACTCCCCTTGAGCATGAATGAGTATACTGTACACGTTTTCAAACGATACATACATTAACCATTTTTGCTGTGTTTCCCGTACTTGCCATTTTATTCTGGCTAACGCCAGACGATTATATTCAGCTTAGGGTAACTTCCCGCAGCCAAAAGGTTAATATAGCTGAAACGGATGTCTTGTTATATTAAAGTATCTAGTCTGCCATACAAGGACAACTCCTTCCCCCAATCTCTAGCTGTTGCTGATATGGTGAGCACTGGGGATCACATCAAAGCATTTCGTCTAGCTTTTCAAATTGTAATGAGTGAAAGTGTAATGATACCCTTTTAGCCTAAATTTTAGTCTTACCAACCACGGATTTCTAACCAAAGGGGTTTTTCAGGAATCTAACCCCTGCAGTTAGCAAGGGATTACTGTACACTATATTGTTCTTGCGCTCAAGTTGTTTCCAGTGTTCCTCCTCTCCCATACCTGTAGGCCTACTAGTTATCTTTTCAACACTCTTCTGTAGAGTCCCTAACTACTATGATCCTGCATTAACAGTATGTAAGAAATGGCAAGACAAAAATATTAACAAATGTACGGATGCATGCACAACAACATACCATCATATGTCCCATCAAAGACGAGTGAAAATTAAAGGTCTCACATATCCACATATAAATACATTATTAAATTTATTAGCATTAGGTAGATCAAGATGTCATGTAGTACAATTAGTTACAGGACCCTGAATATATGCCTAAGTGCCATGAGCCCTCTCACTTCTGCACTATCAGTGTTATAAACAGATGAACTTAAAAACATTCTTCTAATAACTCCATCCAGAATAAGTCCATGTCATGGACTGTACTGTAATCAAATACAATTCCACGTTCTGATATTACCATCTGTCTCAGAACCTGGGCTTGAGGCGCCTTAATAACCACATAAGTTCATACCATCCTGCATTTCTTTGCCGAGGATACAAGCCACTTTTTCATTAACATGTCACATGCAGTACAGTATTGTACAGTATTGGTAAACTCGCATCCTTTTCTCAAATGTTTAACATAACAATCACACATCAACAATTAACTGTTATAATTCAATCAGTGTTTCCTGGCACATCTTTATCAGGTTATAAACTAAATTTCTTGATTAATATGTAATCAATAATTACTGTAGATAATTTTGCAGAAGACCTGACAATTAGTAACAGGATGAACGTATAAACAAAAGACTCGCAAGAAAAACTTTGGACTTGGGTAATAAAGGACAACACTCATAGACAACATGACTAACATAAGGTAATACAAATGCTTGAATTTAAAATTAAATGATGATTCATATGTACAAATGGTAAACCGGTAAACTGCAAAAAAAATAAATAATAATAATAATAATTAACAGTGGGTGAAGACTTTTAACAGTGAACACTAAAGGGGGAGACACTTTATGCTCACATAAAAAATGGTGCCTTGTGTATCAAAATGTGTGTTTGAGTGGGTGACTAATACTGTACAAGTTAAATCGACTTACAGATAACACCAAGATTTAAGAAGCAAAAGGGGGTGTTTCACTAAAGTTAGGTTCACAATAGCTCAACTGCAAAACTCAGACTCCCAAATCTATGAGAGGATCATATGGCCTCACAGTAGTTAAACAAGTTAGAGTGGGTATAAAAACCCACTTATATCACCTAACAAAGCTGGAATGCAGTATTTAGTGTGTTAATCTTTTACAGTTTATCTCCCACTTTCCTTCTTCCACTAATTACCCATTAATATTTCTTCATACTGTCTTTGTTGTAATTCTTTTTCTTTTATCCTCTTCACCACTGATAGGCTCGTTAGCCGCTTGGGCGATCGGTCACGTCTCTGTTACGCACTGTTGGCAAGTACTGGGCATGCACCGGCTCCTGAATGTACCTGAACCTGCTCAAGTGTTGGTCAAGTCTGGTCTTGAAAGAGCTTACACTCGGTGCCGTCACAACACTTTCTGGCAGATTGTTCCAAGAGTTCACAACTCTCACTCCAAAAAAAGCTTGCCCTCACAGTTTTCTGGACCTGCGGCTTCTTCAATCTTAAGCCGTGACCCCTTGTGGGGTGAGCGTCCGCCAGCTCCAAATAAGGACACTTGACCGAGTAGTGCCCCTTGAGATGCTTATACACCTCAGTTAGGTTGCCCCTTGCCCGTCTGTAGTATAAGCTAGGCAAGTTCAGGTGCTCCAATCTCTCAGGGAAGTGGGTGCCGAAGCGCAGGCACCAGTTTGGTGGCCCTCCTTTGAACATTTTCGACCAACTGACAGTTCCTAGTATATCTTGGGGACCAGACGGGGTGACAGTACTCCAAATGGGAAAGCACTTCAATCATGAAGATCGCTAAAAGGGACGGACCGTTTAGATATCTGAACGACCTTCTTATAAGACCTTATAATATATTTGCCCGATTTACCTTCTCGCAATGGCCCCAAAACTTCAGCTCATTGTCAACATACACACCTAGGTCCTTCTCATATTCAGTCTCAATTAGTGCAGTTTCTTCATCCCGTTGGGACATATTATACGCCCCCTTACCGTCGGAACACCCCCGGTGCATCCTCTTACACTTCGTGACATTGAATCTCAGCAGCCATTTCTTCGACCATTCTTGGAGCTCACAGAGATCCTTCTGCAGCTCTTCACAGTCCGCTTAGTTCTTGATTTCCTGAAATAACTTGTCATCATCCGCAAACATTTGTATGGACGAGTGTACAACGTCAGGCAGGTCATTTATGAAACAAACAAACAACAGCGGGACTAATACACTGCCCTGTAGTACCCCGCTTCTGACAGGTACAGATGATGATTTTGTGCCATTAATCACCACACACTGCTTACGATCATGTAGAAAGTCTTCTATCCACGCTAGGACATTTCCCCGAATTCCGTACCCATCTAATTTGATTTTCAGCCTTTCATGGGGTACATTGTTGAAAGCCTTGGCAAAATCTAGGTATATAGTATTGTTGATATTACCAACCATTGTCGATATTACCAACCGTTCCAGAATATGGGTCCAAATATCCAATACCTTGAGCAATTGTGTTAAGCAGGAGCGCCCCAGCATAAAACAGTGTTGGCAATCCTTTACAAGGTTGTTTCGTAGTAGATGTTCCATTACGGCATCTCTGATAATACTCTCAAGTACTTTACATATTATGCTGGTCAGGCTCACCGGTCTATAGACAATCGTGGAATGACTATCACCCTTCTTAAAGATAGGACTCGCAAAAGCCATTTTCCAATCACTGGGGACCTTTTGTTCATCCAGGCATTTACAGAGCAGGATCTTCATGGGCTTGACAAGCTCGTTGCACAACTCTCTTAGCACTCTGGGATGCACCATGTCAGAGCCGGGATTCTTATGGACCTTTAGCTTTGACAGTTTATTTCTTATACCCTCTTCTGTGAACACAATGTGGGTCAGTGCTGTGTCTGTCCCAGCCATTCAATTCAACCCCATTTTTATTTTAATCATCTTTCAAACATTTTTTAATTTTAATATTCATAATTACTGAATGATACAAAAGTAAAGTAATGAGCTTTCTATGTTATGTGTTAAAAATAAATAAATAAAGTACCATAATCATGTGAAATGCAAAGCTCATGTCACTATGAATTCTGCAACAAACAAAATACAGTATTAAAACATTCAAATAATAAGCTGGAGCTCACTTTCGACATGCTTTCTCTCTGTTTTCACATCATTTAATACAGACGTGCATATTTCTATTTCATAACCTCACATTGCTTCTCTCTCATGAGGAGTATATCAGTAAATACTTTCATAAATACTGTATTGCAAACAAAATAAAACGCACAACCAAAATAGATGGGATATTGCACAAACTAAAAACCTCACGTGACAAAGGGGTGGAAGACAGGATAGGTAGTGCCGCCAAACTCACTACCATATATAAACCAAGGTATGGGTAAGCGAATAGATGAATT